ATTTAGGAAGAATAACTCCATCTTTGAATAACTGTGTCAAAAGAGACTCTACCATCATGTATAACTAAAAAGACAATGTGTGTATGTGTGTATATATATATATATATATATATATATATATATATATATATATATATATATAGAACCAGGACTAGTGTTCTATAGTATATTAGGATGACTATTATTAACAAAAATATTATTTATTTTGTGAAAAATGAGGACAGGAGTATAAATGTTTTAAACACAAAGAAATGATAAATGTTTTAGAAGGATACTGATTATCCTGAGTAGGTCACTGCAAATTGTATTCATTGATTGCAATATCACAGTGTACCCCATAGATGTAGACAATTATAATGTGTCAATTGGAAAAGAGAAAGAGACCCTGAAGAGCTTTCTAGCTCCTTCCACCACCAGAATGAAGAGAGAAGGCACTGACTACAAAGAACAGGACTAAGACAGACCATGTAAATGACAGAAACTTGATCTTGAACTCTCCATCCTTCAGAACTATAAGAAATAACTAATTATTGTTTATAAGTCAAAGAATAATACAAAGTGAATGTCTGAATATAGCACAATGGATTGTAATTTTATATATAGCTAAAATGTATCAATTAAAAATGAATAAATTGAATGAAGACCACTAGAGTAGAGAAAGGAGATTGGGGGAGGGAGAAGGGAAGAAAAAAGGGCATAATATGGAAATTTCAATGGCAAAAACTGTGTTCTACACATTTATGAATGTCAGGATGCATCCCTACAATTATGTATACAATGTACTAAAAAGAACTCATAGTAAAATATCATAATAAAAAGAGTTATTCTAATACTACATATTTCCTTTACCATCTTCTAGCAGTAATGTTTTCAGACTGCCTAAAACTGGCACACTTAAATCCTGTGTGTCTACTATTTCTGTGGAAAAATATTTAATTTATCCTGTCCTGCTTCTCTAGCAGTGCAACAAGGGCCATTTTTTTTTCAGCCCTTGACTCCTCAGAGCTGATCAATAAATCTCATAAATGTGGCCAGGGAGAATTATTACAATGCACTAATGCACTAAAATTGGGTCCTTAGAATCCTCAGAAATGCATCAGTCTGAGAAATGTGGGTGCAGTTTTCCACACATGGAAAACTTCACATAGCAGCCATAACCTGAGATCAAGCCAAGGAAACCACCTGAGAGAAACATTTCTCCTCCTCCCAGGGACTTCTGATTGCAGCCTACCTGACCTCTTCTCAATTCCTACAACTTTCTGTGGTAGACATCCCATGTGACTGGCATCTCTTAATCTGAAGCTTTGGGTTTCTGCTCACTTCTTTGCTCATCACTCTCTGAGAGTCAGTCCACAGAGAATCTGACCCTGCTACACTTTGCCTGCTCTCTCAGGCCTTCTTTTGAAACAATGTAAATACAATAAGCAGTGGAACCCTCCATGACACCCTAACTCCAAAATCATGCAATTCTGCAGAATCAGCATCTTGTGATTAATGCCAAGATCTAAAATCATGTCAAGCAAAGCCTCCTGGGGATCACAGCTGTAGCAATCTCTGAGTGCCCAGGTAACTGATCATGGTGAAACAAATTCCTAGAGTTCTCTATGCAGGAAGAGTGCCCCACTGGTGTATTCTCAAAGAAAATTTTATTTTTACACCCTTTATCCTGAGATGAGTGTGGTTTTGATATTTCCTGGGACATCATCAAGTCATCTTTCCTATTGTTTCTGGGGAAGGTGATTGTTGTAATCTCTTTACCATATTTTCCTTAACCCCAATTTTAGTCACTTTTTGCCAAACTTCTGGGTTTTTAATTCTTTTTCTCTGCTTTCAGCTTATTATCACAGAAAACTTGACCAAATACTGCTAGAAATATCCATGATATACCCTGAATGCTATGCTATCTTGAAATTTCTACCTCCAGATAAATTAGTCCATTCAGCCTCAGAAAGTTTTGGGATATTGGCAAAATGAAGACAACTTCTTTACCATAATGTAACACAAATGGCCTCTAGTCCAATTTCTAATAGAGTCCTCCTTTTCCTCTAAACCTCATGAGTATCGTTTTTAGTGTCCACTGTCTTTTGACATTCTGGTCTTCTGAGTTTCCTCCAGAATTACCCATTAAACTCTGCTTAAAACAATCTAAGACTTTTCCTTCTTGTATCTGTAAACTTTCCAAACTCCTTCCCTCATACTTAGCAATGGAGGGGAAAACATTGCTTGTCATTGCCATTACTTGCCTTGTCTTTATTAATATGACTTGGTCATAAAGGGAAAGCCAAGCCTTGACTATCCTTGCCTTTTGTTGCCTTGCCTTGCCTTGCCTTGCCACGGATTGACTATAGAATGAGGCTTGAGTTGTTTTGCCTTACTTTGCTTTGTCTCACAATTCTTGGCTATCTATTGAAAGGCCAGTTACTATGGCTTGTCTTTACTTAGAATACATTGCTTGGCTATTGAGAGGAAGCCAAACCTTTCCTTTCCATGTTTTGACTATCAAGGGGAAACTGAGTATTGCCTTGTTGCTTTGCTGTAACTTGTCTTGCCTTTCCATAGGTTGAGCATACTGGGAATGCATTTTGTATCTGGTTTCCCTTGATTTCCATAGTTTACCTATTGGGGAAAGGCAAGGAAGTCAAGGCAGCTTTGCTTGCTGGCATATTGATAAGCCAGGCCAATCTAAGCCAATCCAATCCAAATTTTGTCTTATTTGGCCTTACCACATCATGGCTTGGCTATTAGTGGAAGCTAGACCTAGCTCATTCTTGGAGGTACTTGCCTTGAATTTCCATGATTTGAATATACAGAGGAAGCAAAACATGCTCTTTCTGTGCCTTGTCTTGGCTTGCATTGCTATGCCTTGGCTCTCAAGACGAATCCAAGAATGGCCTTTACTACCTTTGTTTTGCTATGCCTCGCCTAACCTTGTCATGGTTTGGCTATCAAGGAGAAGGCCAGTTTTGTCTTACCTTGCCTTGTCTTGACTCCCATGGCTTGGCTTCTAGGAGAAACCAAGCCAAACCAGGCTGAGCCATGTTTTTCCTTCTCTCTCTTGCTTGTCTGCCTGGCCTTGCCTTGCTTTGGCTTTCATAGATTGGCTGTTTAGGAGAAACCAAGAAAGTCTAGCTTAGCCATGCCTTTTATTGCCTTGCCTTGACATGGATTGCCTATTGAGAAAAAGCCAGGTCAAGCCAATTCAAGACATGCCTTCAAGTCTTCTTTGCCTTGCCTATCCAGATATAAACATACCATAAGAAAGGAAGATGTGCAAATCCAAGACTTGCCTTGCTTATGTTATGGTGCCTGGATGTGATGTAGTTATTGAGCAGAAGGCAAGCAGTACCTTGCCTTCCTTTGGCTTATGTTGTCTTGCCTTGCTGTGTCCTGACTATCAAATGGAAGCCAGACTTTATCCTACCTTGCTTTGCCTTGGGTTGTCTTACTTTGCCATGACATGGCTACTGAGAGGAAGCCAAACCAGGCCAAGCTTTGCTTTGCCTTGTATTACATTGCCTTTCCATGCCTTGGCTATTAGTTATTAGCCAAGGCAAGGCAATCACAGCAAAGTCTTCTCTTGCCTCCCTTAATTTATCTTGCCTTTTCATATTTTGGCTATTTATAATCCAATTTAGATCAAACCAAGTTGCTGTGCCTTGTCTCCTCTTGCCTTTCTATGGCCTGATGTGAAGAAAAGCCAAGCTAATTCTAGCCAAGTCAAGACATGCCTTGCCTTACCATGCCTGGCTGTACATTTCCATGGCTTTACTTTATTTTACTGTAAAGAAGACAAGTACAGTAAAGCTATGCCAAGGCAAGCCTTGACTTGCTTTGCCTTGCCTTGGCTATCAAATCAAAGCTAGGTTTGCTTTGCCTTTATTTGAAATTTCTTGCCTTGACTTCCCTTTCATTTCCTTGTTTTGCCATTGCTTGGCTATTGGAGGTAAGCCAACACTGTCTAGCTTTGACTTGACTAGTCTAGCCTTGTTGTGTCTTGCCATGGTTTGGCTATAGAGGAAAAGCCTTTCCTTGCTTTTCAATGGTTTTGGTATCAATTAGAAGTCAAGCATTGCCTTTATTTAACTTATTTTATGTCACCATGGCATGGGTAATGAGAAATATTCAAGTCTTGTCTAGTCCTGACTTACCTTGATATTTATTGTCTTACTTTTCATTGCCTTGTCATCATATGTCTCTGGAGAAGCTAAGCTATGTCTAGTTTAGCCCATCCCAGCCAAGTATTCCTTTGCCTTGTCTTGCTTTGCCCTCCTTCACCTTGCCATGTTTTTGCTATCCAGAAAAGCCCAGACTAGCCAATCCAAGACTTGTCTAATTTGCCTGACTTACACAGATGCCTATCCTGTCCCAGCTAATGCTTTTGTTGCTCATGGACTCCAGCTTGTGCGAATTTTACAGAATTCAGACCTCCCCTAGATGGCACTCCACTGGAAACAAGGACTGGAAGGGTCAAAAGTTGACAGGCCTCACACAAACTCTCCTAAGTGGTTTCAGGGATTAATCCACCTGAACTGTGGGCAAGGCACCTGACAAGTACATCCTTGAGATACCTGTAACACACCACTTTCCTCTGGCCTAGAGCTTGTTCTTAATGAATGGTGAGGTGGATTTGTGTTCCTACTTCCTGAACCTCCCTAGGGCTCAGTCATCTTTTCCCTTTAAGAACAGTGTCTTGGTTTCTAGGCTCCCTCATCTTTGCTCAAGAGACCCAGGTATTGAAATTTCTAAAAGCTTTTCATAAGAGACAGGAAACTATACATAGAGGGAGGATACAGAGATAATTTCTTACAAGCTGCTCAAATGGGAATAAAGAAATTCTCTTTCATGAGAGCACAACGTTCAAATTTTTCCTAAGGGCACCTTAAATTCTGACATCATTACCCCTGGATATGTGCAATTTTAGAGTGGCTTATAGGAACAACAGTGAAATGAAAGTATCAAGTAGGTTCCAAATTCAAACCGAATTCACAAATTAGTCCTACTTGAATTGAATTCTGCTGCAGCACAGGCTTCAGTTTCTTCCCAAGGGCTTCATAGTCAATCAGGCCCAACCAGGCCCAATATCTGGATTTGTAAAAGCTAGAATGAGCAGGAGGGAAATGGTACATAGAAAGCTTCTCCATACGGAATCAATCCAAATTCTTTATTTTGACATTTGGAGTCATCCCAATGTTCCCATACATCTTTGGGACCCTTTAGGTCCAGGACTCAGATTTGATGCCTATGTGCAATTTGTAAACTGCTTTTTATGGAAGCCAGGGAACTTTATTTGGAGGGAGTCTTCAGATGAAATTTCTTCATAAAGCTCAAGGGGGCATTAAGGAATTTTCTTTCAACACCCTACATCGTGCACATTCATCCTAAGTGCAATTTTTTAGTCAGCTTTTCTTTTCTGCTGTGATTAAAAGACCTGACAAGAACAGTTTTAGATGGAAAAGTTTACCTGGTGGCTCACAGTTTCAGAAGTCACAGTTCAAAAAGAACTGGCTCCATTCCTGGGGGCTCAAGGTGAAGCAGAATACCATGTTAGAGGTATGTGGTGAAGGAGAGCACATCAGGACATGCCCACCAGGAAGCAAAGAGAGAACTCTTCTCAAAGTGGACAAAATATATAACCTAAATGCATGCCCCCATGGACCCACCTATTCTAACCACACACCACCTGCTTACTGTTACCTTTCAGTAAATACACATCAAGAGATTAATGTATGGAACAGGTTAAGGTTCTAATAATTCAATCATTTCACCTCTAAACTCTCAGGCATTTTCTCATACATGATCTTTTGGAGGATACCAAAATCTAAACCATAACAGTACTGCAAAAATCCTGAACTCAATATAGCTAAACATCTGCATTTTGAAAACAGGTTATAAAAACAGGAGTGAAATAAATGTGTCATGTATCTTCCAGAAGCAAATTCAAATGAAACCATGAAAGAGCCTTGCAGAATTGACTCCTGCTGCCACACAGGCTTCATTAATTACACTGCTCAACAGGGCCATGTATCTGCCTTTAGAAAAGAGCTAGAAAAATCAGGAGGGAAGTGGGAAGTAGAGAAAATCTCACAATGAAGAATCAAACTGAATTCTTAATTCTGACATTTGAAGTCAACCCTTGTTTTAAGTTTAATGTTTCCAATAATATCTGTGGCCCATTAGGCACAGGACTCAGATTTGAAGCTATGAGCAATTTGTGATCCGTTTTTATAGAAGACACAAGAGTGTACTTAGAGGGAGTTTGGAGAGATAATTACTGTCATGACACTCAAGTGGATTAAGAAATTGTCTTTCATGGCAAATAAACAAACAAAATTAAATAAAAAGACCTTTACATTTATCTTAAGAATACCATAAGCCCTGAGCAAAATACAGCCAAATATGTGCATTGTGAAAACAGCTTATAGGAATAAGAGTGAAATGAAAGTGTCAGGAAGATTTTAGAAGCAGGTTCAAACTTAATTCACAAATGGGTCATAGTGAATAGACTCCTGCTGCAAGACAGGCTTTAATTTCTTCCCAGGGGATTCCTAGTTAAAATGCTCATCAGATCTAATATCCAGATTTGAAAAAATTAGAATGAGCAAGTGGGAAATGGTACATGTAGAAAGCTTCACAATGTAGCGTCAAACTGAATTTTTGGTTCTGGCATTCAGAGTCACTCAGAACTGTATTCTATACACCGGAATATGAGCATTTTGAAAATGCCTCATACAGGTAGGAATGAATCACAATTAGGAAGCAGTTTCCCCATGCCAAAGCAACTGAATTCCCAAAGGGGACTTACTGAATTCATTACTTTTTCTATAGCAGATTTATCTTTCTCACCAGGGGTTTAATAAGTACATTGCTCCACAGCACTGAGTATCCACATTAAAAACTCGTAGAATGAGCAAGAGTAAAATGTTACATATAGAAAGCAGCACAATGTGTGATCAAACCGAATTCTCAATTCTGGCATTAGGAGTCAATCCTTGATGAACTACAATATGCCATACTTCTCTATAGCCCCAGGTCTCAGATTTGAAGTCTAGGTGCAATCTGTACATTTCTCTTCATAGAAGATGGGAATTGGTAATGGTAGAGAGTAATCCAATTTAATTTCTTACATAATGCACAAGAGGGTATTAAGAAGAAAGTATTCTAAGTCAGCACTGAGTTCACCTGCATTCCCAAAGCATCTTCAGGCTTTTCTCAATGTATCTGAACACCTGAGTTTTGAAAATACCTAATAGGGATAGGAGTAAACTGCAAGTGGCAGACTGTTACTGTGAAATATTATTCCTTAATGCCCCTTTGTGCATTAGATTAAAAAAATGTATCTACTAACTTCCTACAACTAATGTTTTCCATCTCCCACATAAGCAACTTACAAATTACACATATACTTCAAATATGAGAAGAGGTTCTAAAAGACCACAGTGAGCTATGGCAATACTGTAGTTCATTAAAAAAGGACTCCCAAAGCCAGAGTTGAACATTAAGTTTTATCATGCATTTTGAAGCTCTGTACATGTACTGTTTCACTCCTGCTCATTCTAGCAGTTTTCCTAATACAGATATTGTTTGCTGTGGAGCATAGCACGTATTATGCCCATGGGAAGAAAATGAAACTGCTGTTGCAGCAGTAATTAAAGGTAAAAAACATTTGAGAATTAAGTTTGCATCATTCTTTGCAAACTATCTGCCGCTTACAATTCTGACTTACTGCTATAAGGAGTTTTCAAAATGCACATACTTGTCTGTATGTGTGCAGATACCTTGAGGACAAATGTAAAGTTTTGCTATTGTGAAACAGTACACTTTAATGCTCTCTTGAGCATTAAGAAAGAAATTGCATCTCCTAACTCCCTACCACTACTATTTTCCCATATAATACCAAAGGCAGTTAAGAAATTGCACATAGATTTCAAATCTGAGACCTGGACTAAGGGCCTCAGTAAGGCATGCCCACATTTTGGTCCATGAAGGAATAACTCCCAATGTCAGAGTTGAGAATCAGGTTTGATCATGATTGTGAAGCTTTCTACATGTATTCTTGTTCTTTCTAGCAGTTCTCCTAATGCACATATTGGATACTATGAAGCAATGTAACAATTAAGTCACTGGGAGGAAATTGAAATTGCTGTTGCAGCAGGAGTAAGTTCAATAATTACCCTTGGTATTCACCATCAACCACCAGTTGCATCAGTTTACATCAACCTTTGGAAATCACCTGCCATTTGCAATTCATTTCTAATTCTCTAAGTTTTCAAATTGCACACTATTCATCTGTATTGTATTTAGACCCAAATAAATCCTGAGGACAAATGTGAAGAGAGGGTTCTGCTTTTAAATACAATTCCTTAATGTCCTTCCTCCTGAGAATTAGGTAAGAAATTACATCTATTAACTCTCTACCACTACCAGTTTCTATCTTCTAATAAAAGCAGTTTGCAAATTTCACCAAGACTTGAAATCTGAGACTAGAGCCTAAAAGGCCTCAGGGAGGTATTACAACAACATAGTTCATCAAAGAATAACTTCCAATGTCACAAAAGAGAATTCACTTTGATGATTCTTTTTTTCCTTCATTTTCCCCTACTCCCCACAAAAGTATGTTGGCTGGGCTATTGCATTATACAATTGCCTTCATAAGATTGTACATGGTGGTAATTCAGGTGCTACCTAGGTTTCTTTACAGCACAAGATACTAGAGTGAAATGTAGTATATTTCAGTTTGTAGCAAAGAGAGTCACAGCATTAGTCAGCTTTAAGTTCACATTTTAGATTTTTTTTTCTTTCTGAGGTATGAATACCTTTATGAAAGAAAAATAAACCATCTTTGAGGTACTGCACTCCTAACACAAAGATAAAAAGAAATGTGCCACCACTTTAAACCTCCTACAGCCCTGCCTTATGGAATAGGTACCCCAAAAGATACAGTGCCCATGCAGTCTGAAACCCAGGCACCTGGCTGTGTCCCAGAAATCAAGTGATGGGTATGCTTTTCCTTCTTTGTAGAAACTTATTTCAGCAAAAATTTTAATACCAAGCATTAACTTAGTAGAAAGGCAAAAATCCAAACTTCCACCTAGAAGAAGTATTTTTTTTCTTTTCAATTTGGTATTAAGAATTTAAAAACAAAGATTGAGTAGAATAGGATGGTTTTATAAATCAGCAATAGTTTTAATTTCTCTATAACCAGCAGAAATTAGCAATACAGTCTCTTCCTTCATGTTTCCTTTTTTTTGTTGTTGTTGTTATTGTTTTTGAACCCTGGCACAAAGAAAAGACTACTAACTTTTGTTTTAAATCAAATTAAAGCAAGCTTGTATTTGTGTACACAAAAGCTGGCCAGCAACCATCTCACCCAAAATCCCAGGCTAGAGATCAGTACCCCAGCTTTCCAGGAATACAGTTTTATAGCACAAAAAGTTGCAAAGGGGAGTGACTTGAGAACTTACAAATAACAGGATTTTGACAAGCATAATACAAAGGCAGATAACAGGTTAATGATGTACGTGGCATGATATTTGAAGGTAGGGAGTAAATTCAGATTCCAACATTAGAATTTATGAGGCACTGCTGAGGTTTCAGAGAGGGTTGTTATCTGGTCAGAGGGAGCCAGGATTTATGAGGTTCCACTAAGGTTTAAGAGAGGGTTGTTATCTGGTCAGAGAAATCCAGGCATGGGTGAGTTCAAGGCATGGGCAAGAATTCCAAAAAAGTTTAGAAATCATAATAATATATAGTCAAACAGAAATTAACTTTTCATGACTTTATGATGAGATGGATCCCAATCTTAAAATGGAATTAGGCTGGGTTCATCAATCTGGGTGCCAAACAATTCATGTAGCATTCATGAAAAAGTAGCTTAATACTATATTGTAAATTCATTGTAAATGCGTGTACTTCATGATAAAATTTATAAGTAGATGTCCAAAAAGAGAAAACTGACAAATTATCCCCACTCATTTTAAAGGTTTTTCATGCTTTTGAGTGTTAGTATTCACAAACCTCCTTTTAAATAAAACCTCCCATAATACATTCATAATTCTTTTATTCATATTTTAATTTTCATACAAAGCATCATTTTTTTCTGAAATAACTGTAGGATCAGTGTGAAATCTATTTAACTATTCACCACATTGATTCATTTTTTTATTTTATTCAGCAAAGAATTGTAATTGCCCACTGTTCTCTTCAGCCTGTCATTATGGGAAAGTTCAATGAAAAGCATAGACTTTTCTTATTACATGCTTTTTTTTTTCTGGAAGCACAGACTGCTTTTTAGTGTAAAATACTGAGCTCCTACACTTTCTCCATTCTTTTATCTTGTCGTAGCACCCCCTTTCTCCACAGAAAAGTCTTAACTGG